AATGTATAGACAAGTACCTTTAACAGTTGCTTTCAGTTCTGAAGACGAAAATGTTAAAATAAATGGAAATAGAATCACATTTAAATTACCTATTGACTGGTCTGTTAATATAAATGAAAAATATATTGGTTTATCAAGTATGTATATAACACGAGGATTTAGAAAGGTTGAATTTGAGCTCGAAGTTGTTGTTATAAACGAAACCCAAGAATTTAAGCAAACTATTCACATATATAAATATTTCAAAGACAACACAACATTATATGAATGCATGAGTGATTTTAACGAAATTTTCGAAAAGAAATTTAACAAAAACGCTTTAGGATTAAATGTGTATCTTGATAAATTAAAAGAAGAAGGAATTCAACCACAAATTATAGACTTTCGTTATGAATTTATTGAACAAATAGATGATTCACATACATGCACATTTGCTATATACTCACCGTTTAATGAAATAGCAGAAAAGAGACAAAGTGATTTTAGGATAGGTTTTAAAATTTCTCAGTATAATGAAGACTTCATGAATGTATTTAATTATAAACCAGGAGAAGAACGAACAGTATTATTACCAATAATAACATATAATGTATGGGACAGAAAACAAGTCATTTTATATTCAAATATCGCTAAAGGGGTTGAAAATGAATTTATCGGTCATACTAGATCGACGCCATTAACAAATATTAAATATTATAAGTTATCAGGAAATAATAGAGAGTTTTGGATTGATATGTATTCTACACATGATCATAAATGCCCCGTTGTGTTACCCGAAGACGGAAAGGATGTTTTCTTCCTTGAGGCTCAGTTACTGAATTCAACTATCGCAACTTTATAAGAAAATTCGCGAGGTTAGAAAAGACCCAAAGGGTCTCGCCGCTTAGCGGCTGAGGTTAGATATCGGGTTAGATATACCCTAAAATTAATTTTATCATTTATGAAAAATTTAGTATATACAGAAATTAAAAAAAATTTTGAGTTAATTTATTTTTAAGTTTATTTTTTAAAAAAATTATTTTTTTATTCTGCAGTGTTAAAATCTATGATAAAAAAATAAATAAAAAAATTTTAACGGTAATTTTTAAAATTTATTTTTTCAAAAATTTTTTTATTTTGTGAAGTGTCAAAAATTTTAACGTTAATTTTTAAGTTTATTTTTTAAAAAATTATTTTTTTATTTTGTGTAAATGTCAAAAATTTTAACGTTAATTTTTAAGTTTATTTTTTAAAAAATTATTTTTTTATTTTGTGTAAATGTCAAAAATTTAAAAAAAAAAAAAAAAAAAAAAGGTAGTGGGGCTTCCAGGGGCTGCGCCCCTTCTAGCCCCGAAGATGTTTAGTATAAAATGAGGTTTTTATTCGGAAAATTGTTAGTCTTCTGGTGTGAATTCGGAGGACTCTTCGTGTTTCTCTTCTTCGTGTTTCTCTTCTTCTTCCTCTTCCATTGCTTCTGGGAAGAAGTCTTCTTCTGGGTCGAAAACATTATATAATGTGTAATTGAATGACACATTATATCTTTGTTTGAGTTCGCTCTTGACAAAGAACTTAGTTCCAGGAATACAGAAGACTTCTGTGCGTTGGAAAAGCTGATGTCCTGGAACAAATTTGGCAATTAGAGACTTCTTTTTTCCGAATTGTTCAGGAGTTTCCATGACGACAGTAACAACATCTCCATCTGCGAGGTCTTGTTGTTGTTCGGAAAGGTAAAGAGCAATGATATAAATGGTTGCTGCGTTGAATTCGAGAAAGTCGAATTCAAATTGTGTTGTCGTATAGCATTCAAACCATTTTGTACAGTTGTCTCCGAACTCGTCAACGTATTCATCTTGGTCATATCCGTAACTAAAGACTTGGAATTCGGCAATTGTCTTGTCGAATGACCGTTGGATGTTACGAGGAAGATTTTGACGAACTTGGTATAAAGTTCTCAACATTATAAGCTTAGTAAATGTTGGAAAATACTGAACTAAGACATCGCTAAGCTCAATTGGACTTGGAATTGTCTTAGTAAGTTCAATTGAACTAGCAATTGCTTTGTTCAGAACTTCACAGAACTGAGTATTGTATGTAGCGTCTGGTTGTGTATTTTCTTCGGCGTCTTTGAGATATTTAGAGCAAATTTGTTGAAGAATTTCTCTTAATTCGCTGTTAGACTTTTTGGTGGTTATTCTAACCGCTGTGCCGGTTCTTGGAGGTTGTGGGGCTTTGGCTTTGGTTAGCGGTTGAGAATTGTTAATGTTGGCTTCCATTAGACAAAAATAAACTGTTTTTTTCGGACTACTCATAGAAAAGTTTAAAATAAACCGTTTTCGTCAACGGTAACCCCCTCTATTTTTTTATTTTATTGAAAAGTCTCCGTTGGCAAACCGTTCCATCTCAAATATTGAATGAACTATAAACGTTTTTTGTTTTCTATACATACTTTTTTGTCCAACGGTAAAACTTTTTACACAACGGTTTTTGAGAGTCGTCGCCGTTGACTTTTTTGTAGAGCACTCAAAATAGTATAACTTTGTCCGGACAAGTAAGGGTCTATCGTCGCTACAGGAAAAGTTACAGGCGTTCCAAGGAAGTATACTTTGAGAAGCCTTTCCCCTTTTAAAACAAGATAGGACGGTTATTTTACAAAACTGTCAACACTTTGACCGAGTAGTTTTTTGTGCCGAACAAAAAGTGTCATATAAACATCTGTCAAAAACCGCTTTTTAACTTCACTTAAAATGCCACGTAAGCTACGTAAGAATATACGTAAGAGGAAGAGAGCATTGAAACATCCAATAGTAAGACTAACACCACAACAACAGTTGCAACAACAAATGATGAATGACCCCACTATGCTGCAACAAATGTCAAGCAATCCTATGCTTTTAAACCGAGTTATAGGTGCACAGAGTGGAGGTTTAAGAGCGGCACTTTTAGCGAAAATGGCAGGCTATGGTGGAGCTGCAGACGGAACAGCATATAACCCTCAAAGTCAAATGAATTTGAGTTCACTCAAAAATCAAATAACAGATGTCAAAAAGTCAAACATAGACATACAGAAACAAATAAGTGAAAACGAAAAGAAACTAGAATATGACAGACACACAAAGAAACTCAATGAGTTAAACGTAGAGAAAAAGAAGAAAGAAGAACAACTGAAAGAACTAAGTACAGAGGAATATGCGAAGAAAGTGTCAGAAAAAGCAGCAGAAGTAGCAAAAATGGAACAAGATGTCATAAATTTGAAAAACCATACTACTCGATATAAAGTACTGAAAGATGAAGAGATAAAACAAAAAGCCCTGAAGACATATATGGATAGCGATGAGTATAAAAAAGAAGTTGAAGCAAATGTAAAGGCAGAAAAACTTTTACAGTTGCAAAACCAAACCGTACAGTATGAAAACTTAGCACAAGAAAGTAAAAATAACGACGCGGCTATGCAAAAGGCAATGAAAAGCGCAGAATATATAAAAGCTAACAATGACTGGTTAGATGCCCAAGCCAACGCTAAAGCAGCCCAACTCATAGGGTCAATAAGGACAAAAATACAAGCGGATGAAGATAGTTCAAATGAAGCTTTAACGAATGCTGACTTTAAGAATGCCTTCGAAGCTCTTCATAGTAAGGTGAAACTAGTGAACGACTTCTCATCTGGAAAGAAACTGAAGTCTGAAGGTTTCGACAAAGAGTTAAAAGAAGTAGCACAAAATATGACGAAAATAACAGATGCAGCAACGAGACAGGCAGTTCAAAGTGCCTATGACGCCGTTAGAGCAACTGTTGTGGAAAGTCAAGAAAAAGAGTTACAACAGACCAAAACAGACCTAGTAAATGCTTTCTTAAAAACGAAAAGTCAGGTAGGACATTACGCTGCAGATGGAACATATGTGCCAGCTGGTGGAACTTATATACCACCAAACCCTCCAAGAGAAGCACCTGCACCAGGACTACCTAAAACATTTACATCGTCACATGGACATAGACACAGGCATGCACCAAAACCAACACAACAACAACAACAACCAGCACAACAACCAACAGTTCAAAACACTGCACCACAACAACCACAAACAGAGCAAGGACATAAAAGAAGTAGAGAACAAGGAAACCAAGAATTCTTAAAAATGCTTAAAGAAGAGTGTGGTTTCCCAGATAGTATTGACTTTAGTGACAGATATAAAGAAGCTATTGGAAAGTTCAAGGATGGAAATACTGACCCGAACCTATTTAGCTTTATGGCTCAGCACCAAAACGGATATAATCTCAAACCTGGAAAATACAAGCTCGCTAAGGGATATGATTTAATAGCATATCATCCAAATGACATGGATGAATTTACTCCGAGATATTTGATGTCAGAGCTAAATGACAATTCAACTTTCGTCATGAAACGCGTAAAAAATAGAGACGGAACGAAAGAACAAAAGCTTATGAATGCGGATGACGTAGATAGGGAAATTGTTGAAAACGGTCTCGGAATATATGAAATGCCAGCAGATGAGGTACAAGAAACTCCACAGGAAGAACTAGTTCAGATACAACCAGACATGGAAGAAATAGTTCAGCAACAACAGCTAGAAGAGCCTGAAGGAAACGAACAAGTCACTCCTTTGGAAACTAACTTCACAGAACTAGATGAAGATTTGGAACAGCCGAAAAATCTTGACCCTCAACAAGAGTATGCGGAGAATATGGAATATTTCCAAGAGTCTAAAAAAAATTCGGCTGACATAGTAGAAGAATATCGAAAAATGTTTGCCGACATACAAAAGACTCCAACATCAGATGAAAATATCCAGCATAGAATGGAAGAACTGAAAAAAAATGTACACAAATACAACAACCCTTTTTACTTACGAGCATTTAACGTTCAATCTTCGGATGAACTCGGTGAAAATAAAAGGTTAAATTTCAAGAAAACATATAGAAATGAAACATTGTTTAAAGTTCATTCAGAACCTAACCAAGATGGAAACAAACCTACTTTTGTTTCTGCAGACGATGGAACTACAATGAGATGGGGTCATAAAGCTAATCCGGATAGGTGGTTCATAAACTTACAACCTCAATTCCAAGAAGTTGTAGACGCAATGGAAGCGAATGGTGAACGAGATATAGCTGGTATTTTCAGCGCGGCTTTAATGCCATTGAAAGATATGAAACATGCAGATATTTTGGACCAGTATGAAATGAACATGGCTGATGGAAATATAACACCTGACGTTCTAGAACATTTATCTCAAAGAACTACACAGAACCATAGAGATGGTATATTTGGTGAAGAGTTTAGAAAGAAAGTTAGGGAGAGCGAAGGAAGAGAACCTATTGTACATGACCTTGCAAACGAAAGTTTACAAAATGTCATAAAAACTTACTTTGCAGACAATGAACTGAGAAGGGATGAATATTTAAGAAAACTCAAATGGACAGTACCAGATGAAATGTTAGTATTGAAAAACATGTTCCTTGACAAAATAAAACCAACTACAGAAATAAACGACGCAAGACTGAAAGATTGGGTAGAAGCTTTCCCATTCACAAAAGATATAGTTGGTAACATGGAAAGAAAACCAGAATGGCTACAAAAACATATATTTGGAAACGAGCATATTCCATATGGACAGGCACTGTTTGAAGAGCTTGAACCGGAAACTCAGGAAAGAGTCATGCAAACAATACGCGAAGACTCAAATACAGACTATGACAAACTCTTTCTAGGATATAGGTTACCTGAGATGGGCGACCAGAGCCAAAAGGCAAAAAGGACATGGGAAATTTGCAACATACTAGATGAACATAATGCAAAGATGCAACAACTTCAAGCAGAGGGCAATGAAGGAAAAAGAAGAGTTAAAAACTCAGTCAGGAAGAAAGTAAAGCTTGGTCCACGTGGGTTCTATTATGACATATAAATCCAACTATTCTATATTTTTACTCATATGAAATGTACGCCGCTCAGAATATAACGCCAACAGTTTTGGATGCTATGAATGGAAATGTTTCCGAATGGTATAACGAATGCGACAATGCCATTAGAAGGTCAGAAATAGTTCCTGGAACTTACGAATATACAACTGCTGTTTCTTATGGAAACGTAGGTGAGTTTGGAGAAGGTTCTTCAACAACAGTAGATATTGCTTGCGACAGGTTTCATATAATTTCTATTGACAACTCATTCTTATACGTGGAACAAGACATTGAAATAAAACCTTCTGCCAAGTTGTCTGACAAGAAAGGTTGCAATGGAATTTTCTATGTCGGATACCAATATGCTCCAGAAGTTTTCATGGGATATAAGATATATTCTAACTCTGACTTAGTTCAAACAGTAACATGGGCAAACTATGAATGGTTCGCTTTGAGAAACTCAGTACAACCACAAGCTAGAGAACAAACAGACCAGTATGCAACTATTGAGAAAATAAGAAGACTTGACCCTAACGTTCCAGGAGTTTATGTTGACCTTTCTGGACAAACTGCAGCAGCAGTAACCAAAGTAAAACTGAAACTTAGAGTTCCTTTGTCATCTTTCCTCATCTTCAGGTTTTTAAGATACTTGCCAAACTGGGCAGGAAAAATTTCTATCGAACTTACTCCAAGCAAAAATAACTTAGTCATTGCACCAACACAAGACCCATTCACTCTTACAGAAGTAGTGGGAACAAATAAAATGTCATTCGCCGACTTTTGCAAAAACAAAGTTGACTTAGACTTTGGTTTCTCAAACCTCAACACTGAAGTAAACTATTATTTCAATGCTGCTGGAGATGCTTGGGACCCAGTTAAGTTCACATGCGAAAAGTTTGAATGCAAGAGAATAGAAAGCAGACTTGCAGTCTATATGTTGGACCCAGATATTTCAAATGCTTTAGCTGCCAAATATATTGCAGTTCCACTTATGTTCCCTATACACCAAATATCTGTCAAAGACTTTGCAGGTGAAGTTGGAAACCAAAGTGCTGACCCAGGTGCAAGAACAGATATTGCTTTAACAACTGCAATGAAACATGCAGATACTATGTTTGTACTGTTCAGACGAACTATAAATGACTATTCTTGTTTCTACAACCCTGGTATTAAATACCATATAAACATAGATGGCAAATACTATCCAAGAGAAGAATATTCCACAGTTGAGGATATGAGGTCATACAACTTGACATTAGATGCTATGAACTTTAACAACAACTTCACAACAACCATTAACCCTGAAATGCAAAGTTCTATTATGCCATATGTGAAAGTATGGACTCATACAGGAGCTCAAAAAACTCAATATACAAATGGAGACCGTTCAAACTTTTGGCTTGGCATTCCATTTGCTGACTCAGAAGACTTTATGGGTGGTATTTCAACTGTTGGTACAGTTCAAATACAATATACTGGTGACAGAGACGGTCCAAATGAATTGAAAGCAAAGAAGTTTACAAAACCAATAGCACTTTTCACAGAAGATGCTCTTTTGAAAATTCGTTCGATGAAACCTGCTGGGGCTCCTCAGATTGGTATAACGACAGCTTCCATCGAGCAGATTTGGCAGCAGGTCAGTAAGTTGTTCTTGAACTGACTTCTCTCCGTCAAATATTGACAGTACGCCAGTTTTGACATAAAATTGTATTATAAACTTACCTTTAGAAATATCGGTCAGTTTTGTTGTTATATTTTTGTCTGCTTCAAGAACTTTCACCATCTCGGTTATACCAACTTTCTTTGCTTTATGAAAATATTTAGGTTCAGCAAAGACTGCTATTCTATAACATTTACCATTGTTTGTGTAAAGAACTATTCTGTCAATGAACTTGTATTGTTTGTGTGTGTAAACTTTGTTCTGCTTCAATTCGAAGAGATACTCGAATACGTCCATCTTTTTATTCTAAGTAAAATGTCATTTCCGAAAAATAGAAGCGTGAGTGTTTCAAAAGGTTTAATGGCGGTGGCAGATGTGAAGTTAAATTCACCAACTCAAACAAACAGTCAAAGTGTTGTTGTCAATGTCAAAGAAAGAGATGTTGAAGTGGGGAAACCATACGAAGACGAAGATGGTATAACAATAGTTCCTGTAAAAGAACAACCAACATATCCTGAAGTTAGCAGAGACTTAAGTTCTGTTGCAGATATTCGAAACGACTACCAACAACTTAAAGACAAACTTAAAACTCAGGAGAAGATTTGTCAAGCTTTAGGTATAATGTTAAACTTGGTCGAACACAACCCTGTAAAAGTGAACTCATATGTCATCGCACCTCATGAAATTTTGAAAGAACTATTGAAACTTTTGACAGAGGCAGACGATATAAACATCAAAGAAATAGAACCCGACGTTAGTTGCTGTGGTGTTTCATATAATGTCATTGACAAGATATACGTTATGAAAGGAGGTGAAACGTTGAACTTAAAATATAGTTTCCCAGACGTCATAAAAATATTTGACGACCACAACATTTCATTAAAATTTACTTGCTAAGTAAATGGCAGAAGACATAGTGGTTTATACTATTACGACTAAAAACCCTGAGTCATATAATTCTATAACAACAAACTTACAAAGTCCTCAAGGACGATATTGTAAACTGACCTTAAACACAATGACGACTAAAGCCTGTTTTGCTCTTTTGACACCAGAAGATTTTATTGTTGTGAATGGTAAAAAATACTTCTTTGAAGATACTTACTCAGATATACCACCAACAGGTTTTGTTGACTTATTTAATACTTTAAGGACGGATGTAACATGTGCTGCAACTAGAGCAGGTTTCATTATGTTTGGATGTCCGACTGAGTTTACTATAAACGATATGAGCTATAATACAAAACTTATATCTGGTTTTTACTACCAACAGTTTCCTATAACAGGAAAAGGTGTCATACAAGGTTTGTCTGTTCCATTGACTTTAAGTACACCTATTTTATATATTGTTTCAAACTTAGGTTCAAAGTGTTATTCGAATGTCGACAGAAACTACTATGACCAAAAGATACTCATGCGTATAAACAACACTTTCTCTGCTGGTTTGCCTATTGTTCATTCGAATGCAGAGTTTTCAGCTTTAGTAAACTCAAACACTTTAGCAAACATAAACTTAACCTTAGTTGACGCAAACTTTGTTCCTGTAAAACTTTTATGTCCTATGTATTTGTCAATGACGGCAGAAAGTTTCGAATTGGAAGATGCAACTGGTGAAAGTATTGTACTACAAGAACAACTTCAACAACAAATAGCTCAAGAACAACAAATGCAACAAATGCAACAACAAAGTCAAGAATAAAAAAAATATTTTTTTTATTTTTATAAAAATGTACAGAATAGATGTTTCAGATTTTTATGACTTCCAAGCATTCAGAAATATGTGTCCATTTCGAGACTATAACAAAGCAGTCGAGAATTTGAAACGTTTAGTCATTTATGTCGACTCTGCCCCAGAATGTTATGTTATGAAAGAATGGGATGTTGTCTTTAACAAACCAAGAGCAACAATAGTTTCAGAACAAGAATGTAGACAGAAACTTAAGAAAATAAAAGTCGTACAAGTTGGTATGAAGATGTTAGATGCTTGGGATATCTTATTGTCAAAGTTAGAAGATTTTTCAGTTCGTGGTATAAAGTTCTATACACCTTCTCCAAACTTCTATTCTATCTTCACTGGATATAAATACGAACAAGTAGAATGGAAAGAAAATATTATAGAAGCTTGGTTAGACCATGTCAAAGAAATTATATGCAATGGAAACGAAAGAGTCTATGAGTATATCTTATGTTGGTTTGCAAACATCTTACAACATCCAAGTGCTAAAAATGAAACTGCTCTCATTATAATTGGAAAACAAGGAACTGGTAAGAACACTTTCTTTACAGATATTTTGTGCAAACTGTTAGAGGGCTATTCGAACCCTAATATGACAAACTTAGAAAACATCTGCGGTAAATTTAACTCTTCAATAGAGAATATGAAACTTATAGTATGTAACGAACTTCAAAGTATAGATACAACAAAGGTTTTAAACTCAGATGCTTTGAAGAGTCTTATAACAGACAAAGTTGGAGTTGTTGAAAGAAAGTATAAAGACCAAAGAGTTTGTGAAAATGTTGCAAATTTCATCATGGTTTCAAACAATGTTGTTCCGATGAAGTTAGAAAGTTCTGACAGAAGATATGTAGTTGTCAGAACGTCAGATTCTCATATGCAAGATACAGAATATTTTGACGACTTAGCAGAAACTTTGACATCTGAACTTTTACAACCACTTGTTCTCATATTTTATGACATTAGATATTTCTAAGTTCAATCCAAGACAAATTCCATATACCGAAGAGAGACAAACATTGTTAGAAGCAAACAAGAGTGTATATGAACTGTTTATAGATGAGACTAACTTTGAGTGTTTAGATGAAAGGTCATTGTACGATTCGTATAAACAATATTGTCAAGAATATGGTTATATGACAGCGTCTAAACGTACATTCTTGGCAAATGTCAAAAGTCTTTTAGATGTTCAGAACGGCGTATATACAAAGAAAAATTTTTCTGAGTAAATTTTAAAAAAATATTTTTTTATCCGATAGAAAAGATGGCAAAATTCATCTCAGTAAACAAGTACATGACAGAAGTCAAAGAAGAACTAGACCCATTCGCATATTTGAATGTTTACTTCTACCATTTTGAAAAGTCTACATTTGACAAAGTTTGGAACATCGAACCAGTTAAGTTTGCTATTGTGACTAAAAATGGTGCGAAATTTGAAGACTTAGACATTGACGGTATGTTGACAGTCAAAGAAAATTTTGACAGAAAGTTCTCAAAACTCGAAGAAGGCAAAGCATACAAACTTGTTATACCTTATGAACCAAAGAAAGCAGACGACTATGAATATTATGAGTCTAAGATAGTTGAAGTTCAAGGTAAATTGGGTAAAA